AAATATATAGTTGTTAACTGGTAATGAACATAGTACAACACATACAGTAATTTGTAAAATATTTTAAAGTCCAAAGGAAACATTCACTGTTATTTTTACTTATATGCCCTTTAGTGCAAACAACGAATGACTAGTAAAAAAAAAAAAAAAAAAAAAAAAAAAAAAAAAAAAAAAAAAAAACAGGGAAAACGTGTGCAAATAAAGATAGAATTTCGTGTTTGATTCGTGTTTGATTTGAACATGTGACTGCATGATTGCTTAAACAGATCCATGCATTCTTTGTAAACATTCACAAAACATAACGCGCGTTGGGAAACAGAGTATTGTTGATAAAAGACTAGACTAAAAATCCAGGTCTTTGTCCTAAGAATTCTCATGGAGTTACCTTTCCTAACGGGCCACTAGTTCGCCCCTTGAAAAAGCATTGGAAATTTAGTTCATCCCTTTTCAGAAATGGACAGCGGCGAATAAATGGGAAATGATTGAAGAGGCAGTTAGTAAAGCATTGGAAATTCAGTTCAGCACTTTTCAGAAAATGGAAGCAGCAGTTAGTTAAATTCAAGGGGACAGCAGTTAGTAAAGCATTGGAAATCAGTTCACTTTTCTGAAAGGACAGCTCAGTAAACAGTTCAGCACTTTCTGAAATGGACAGCTGTAAATAAATGGGAAATGATTGAAGAGGCAGTTGTAAAGCATTGTGTTCAGGAAATTCGTTGCATTGGAAATTCAGTTCAGCAAAATGGACAGCTGTAAAAAATGGGAAATGATTGAAGAGGCAGTTAGTGCCAGTTCAGCACTTTCTGAAATGGACAGCTGTAAATAAATGGGAAATGATTGAAGAGGCAGTTAGTAAGCATTGGAAATTCAGTTTCAGCACTTTTCTGAAATGGACAGCTGTAAATAAATCAGTTAGTAAAGCATTGGAAATTCAGTTCAGCACTTTTCTGAAATGGACAAAATAAATCAGTTAGTAAAGCATTGGAAATTCAGTTCAGCACTTTTCTGAAATGACAGCTGTAAATAAATGGGAAATGATTCAGTTAGCAAAATTCAGTTCAGCACTTTTCTGAAATGGACAGTGTAAATAAATGGGAAATGATTAAGAGGCAGTTAGTAAAGCATTGGAAATTCAGTTCAGCACTTTCTGAAATGGACAGCTGTAATAAATGGGAAATGATTGAAGAGGCAGTTTAAAGCATTGGAAATTAGTTCAGCACTTTTCTGAAATGGACAGCTGTAAATAAATGGGAAATGATTGAAGAGGCAGTTAGTAAAGCACAGTTCAGCACTTTTCTGAAAATGGACAGCTGTAAATAAAGGCAGTTAGTAAAGCATTGGAAATTAAGTTCAGCACTTTTCTAAATGGACTACTAAATTGACTGATGAGCTCTTCCGATCTATAAATGGAAAATGATTGAAGAGGCAGTTAGTAAAGCATTGGAAATTCAGTTCAGCACTTTTCAGAAATGGACTACGGCGAATAGGCTAAATGGAAAATTACTGAAGAGCCAGTTTTAGAGACTTCAAAAATCTAGTCTTTGGTTATCTCGGAGGATATTTTTTTTAGAAATAGATAAAAATCACCTTTTTCACAAGGCGTTAGAATTCAACCACACAAGCAAAAAAGAGTCTTGGGACTGAAAACCGGAAGGCATAATGCACACGATCGCTGTAGAGTGAAGAGATGTACGAATGATCTAAAATACATTTTAAAGAAACGAAGTTCGATCTCCCAAAGGTTAGGCTCAAGTCAATAAAAAATAAATAAATAAATAAATAAAAGAAAATAAAAATAAAAAAATAAAAAAAAAATTGTGTGCATTTTTCTAGTCACATCTCCTGCTCACAGTGATCAATATCAAGACATGCATTGTGTGTATACTAGTGGTCAGCCATGACAACCTAAAACATCGGATTTAGATATATCCAATAACATATGATGGTCCCGGTGACTTTGGTTACAAGCTGACCATAGCCGACCCACTGACAGTAGTTCCAAATAGCTAAAACAAATTGGGTCACATATTTATATGGGCCGGGCGAAACAAATCTGAACTGAACAGGAACCATTAGAAGGCATACATTACCCATTCGCCGAGAGCACAATGGCCCAATTGGACACTCGCTCTCACATTATGAACTCTCCCTCTCTCTACAAACGGGATCTTTGTATACCAATCCACTCAATTCTTGTACTTTAATTCATCTGCCACTTGTGAAATTTTGAATATAAGTTACAAAGATGCATAGTGATTCTCAAATCAGAGCCATCAACACATGTATAGGTTTGTGTGACTTGTCGGTGTCGTGAAATATGTCCTACCTACAGTCGAAGTGTAATTACAAATCCCTTTGAAATGACTTGTCACATGAGTGGCAACTTTGATTTAACCAGGTTGACTGTATATGACAGTTATCATTAAGTTGTCTCTCCTTACAGAAGTAACATGATTATACGGTAGGAGCCCTCAACTATATCTCTTTCACTTGGGGCGTCTTCTGTTCGTGCCATAAAAGTTAATTCAGTAATAAAGTTTAATCCAGATCTCTAGGGCATGCGTTGGCAGCGTCCAGGATCAACTTTTAAAGCAGCTCTAGACCAGGCTTCAATATTAAGCTCATTTTTTAATCCTGCACATGCGCAGAAGGGACAAGTTAATCCCACCAATCATGTACTGTTACGTCACGTGTCCGTCATGAACTTCACGGATGCCATCGCTTGAGTTGCCATGCAGAATTATTTTCGGCAATAACATCGATCGTCGTAGAATTTTCATACTTAGTATTTATTATGAAAATGAAATTGTATATATTTACACAAATGATCAAATATTCTGATAAAGGAAATAACTCATGGTAATGCATATAAAAACCAATATAATCCCACGAGGAATCTGAAATTCAGAGGCTGCGAGCATGGAACTCATATTTCCAGGTTAGTGAAACAAAAATTACATAGTCAAGATCACACAAGTTGACGTTTTAAATCAAATATGAACCAGTGTTTTAAAGAAGAATTATGTGCTGAGTTTTTCTCAACTACTTTACTACAAAATTAACAAGTATACTTTTCTATGGACCTCCTGAACAGCACCCTGAAGAAAACATGTTTCCCTTCTCCAACACGATTCAACGCAGCAAAGAGCTGTCCGAGGAAACTGCGATGGATATTAATTGTTGAATGACATTTTTGTACTTAAGTGTCATTGAAATAAAGATTGGTTTTATAACTGTTAGAGCAGTTTCGTTACCCATTTTACTACTATAAAGATAATATTTAATAAAATAGAATATTTCATAATCATGTCTCCCTTATAAGGAAGCCTACTTGTGCCTCGTATTTATCATATGAAGATCAAACTGCATATTGAGTGACTGACTACAACTTTCTATAACAATCACCTTTTCTCTAATCTATAAAAGTGAATATCAGTGGTGAGAGAAATCTTTTAACAATGCAGTGTCTGAATGCAAATTGCAAGGTTTATTTATCCAAGTAAATTATATATCGGTCTGCAAATCTTTAAGTAATATCTTTAATATTGTCTTCTATATCATATGCGTAGGGACATGAAGGGTATGTTGAATAGATATCTTTTGGATGATTTTGTTGCTTATTTACAGGTATGAGTGCATGACTTGCTCCAGACGCTACCCTACACAACATGCAACAGTTATGTGTGAAGAGCAACATTGCACAGAAATGTTCCAAAATACCACCGATTTTTCAGCAATAAAAAGACAACATACCTCAGCTCCCACCCTTTAGATTTGCAAAACCTATTCCCACACGCCCAGAAATACGAGACCAGGATCTTCACATCAACAGCAGAGGGCAGAACCATCACTATATCACAGACCAGGAACATCACAAGAATTGATAGTAATTTAAAGAGACAGTCCATTTAAGATTCAAAACAAATAAAATTTTGAAAACAGATAATCTTGAAGAAATGTGTACAGAAAATAGAGGTACGAACTTTCTTACTTTGATATGATGCTAGTCTTAGTTTTCAATTTTGGGAACATTGGGAGGCATAAAAAATTATTAATAATATGAATTAGTTTTTAATGCCTTGTGTTCAATCATGTAGGTACGTCTGGGATGAAGGGAAGGAAAAGGTGGTCTTCAGAAGCATCTGAGAAGTTTATATTGTTATTTACAGAACACTTTAAACAATTAGGAGGCAAAAGCAGTGCATAGATAAAAAGGCATAAGATAATTAACATTATGAAAACATTAGTAAGAGTCAGTTTCATGAAATACACATTAAATATAATAGATATTTTGAAACCTAAGAGATGTCTAAAATAGTTTCTTAAATATGATAATACCAAAAACATGACATTACAAAAAGAAAGAAAAAAAACATGAAATCTCCCAAAAGATCGAATTTCACGCGCGACATTTCTCTTCTCTCCGACTTGTTTACATCACAACGGTGGCGATAGAATAGTGAGTACGACAGTTTTTACTGAACATTACTGTCGCGCCGTCTGGCAGCGGAGAGTGTCGTCTTCGGTACGGACACAGTGGATTAGGATTAAACTAAATGCGGTTTTAAGAGTTAAGGACGCTACAGAAGACGCCTATGTTTGCCTTTATATGACTATCTTAATGGTAGTATAATGATAATGGTAATTTTGATGATAATGATGTAATATTGATGATGATAATAATGATAATAATATCCTCTCACGTCGAAAATTCTTCCTAAAATTATATTAATTAATAAGCCATTCCGCACACGTTAACTGTCATGATCAGGTGGACTTACATGACACCATCCATGACAGGATTGCAGACATATCAATATTCATTATCTTATATATCTAATTGATTTTTGGAGGTATCAGGTGAAAACGATGCATAGGATATCAATGCATTATTCAGTGTTCATGAGATATATTTATTATTTTTTCATGTATATCTATATGATATCTAGCTTGGAAAAACCGTAACTTTTAAATGTCATTCACTTTATAATTAAAAATATATA